ACTCGGCAGCAGGGGTGGACACTTGGTCAGGGGGAGAAACAGGCACACTGGCAGGTGTGAAGACCAAAGGCCTATGAATTACCGGAGGAGCAATGTCTGGCGAGAACAGTCTTCCACTACGAGTGACCTTAGCAGGCCCAGTGATGTTGGAGACACCAGTATCAATGTTGAACTCTTGTTTCACACCCAGAACATAAACATCTGCCCCATAGTGCCATGGGACAGCCTTATCAGACTTGTAGGGGATGGGCCCCTGAACAGTGATGGTGACGGGAGCAATCTTGTGAACCGGCAAAATTTGGACAGGCTTTTTTGAAGGAGCCTTGGAAGGGTTGTTGAAGATGGTAACAATTGAAACTTCTTCAACAGGAGCAGCAGGAACAGTAGTCTTTCTGAACAAAATCTCTCTACTATCCATCAGGCTTTGGACGCCTGACTTCAGCAGAGAACAACCAACAGGGGAAGCAACACATAGAGGGCAACCCTTGCTACATCCCGGAAATAAACCGGCTAGCAACAGGTTCCTCTTGACCGTCAGCAGCGGAGTAGCAACATCATCCACCGAAGCTACATACAAATCCTCCTCAACAGCATTCACTCCATGCTGGGGCATGGGAGCGGTTACAACATTCGGCCTCTCGGGCGCCTCAAACTGTATTTCCTTTGCATCAATAAGGTCCTGAACCTTATTCTTTAGGGCCCAGCAGTCATCTGTGTTATGCCCCGGGCTATCAGAGTGGTAAGCACAGCGGGCATTTGGATTAAACTTGGGGGACGCAGTATTCACAACCTTCGGGGCCTCTCTAACAGTCACCAAGCTGGCTGATAACAGTTGCGGCAGGATTTGAGAGAGAGTCATGCTGAGCCGAGTATATTGTCGTTTGGGCCTCTCAGCTCTGGGTTGATTGTACTGTTGTGGAGCAGCAGCAGGTTTAGAGATAACCACCGCGTTGACAACTTGGCGGTGTTCAGGTTTGTTCTGCCTTCTCGGGCCATACACAGCACTTGCCTCTTTCTTGAAGGGCTTCTTTTCAGCATTGGAGGAGGCAACCTTTTGTATCTTCCCTGATTTTATACCGGCCTCGATCCTCTCACCAGTCAGGATCAGATCAGTAAACCCAGCAGAGGAATTACCGATGAGATGATTGAAAAATGGACCAGAAAGTGTCCCCAAAAACATATCCACCAGCTCTCGGTCTGTCAACGGTGGCTGCACCCTGCCAGCCAGATCCCTCCATTTCTGGGCGTACTCCTTAAAACCTTCACCCGACCCTAGCGACATACCCTGGAGCTGGGTACGCGTAGGAGCGAGGTCGGAATTATATTGATACTGCTTGTAAAAAGCAGTGGCCAGATCCTCCCAGTTACGAATGTTGATTCCATCCAGCTGATAGAACCATTCGAGGTGAGTCCCTGAAAGACTCTCTTGGAAGAAGTGGATCCAAAGGTTCTTGTCTGCTGTGTAAGGCTGGATCTTCCTTACATAAGAACGGAGGTGCATCTTGGAACAGGAAGCCCCGTCATACTTCACAAAGGCAGGTGCCTTGAACTTGTGTGGAATCACCACCCCAGTAGATAACCCCAAGTCTCCGAAATCCAGTCCAGGCACACGCTTAACTTCCATAGCCTTTAATCTGTCATCCAGCTGCTTGTACCGGTCTTCAGCAGGAGGGTATTGTTCGTCGTTGAAGTCTGTTTCAGTATCAGAGCCCACAGGAGTAGGGACCTCCCCTTCTTGGTGACTACCTTCTCCCACAGATGGAGTAGTCCTCTCAGCCTCATTTCGTAAGGTGTTCCCGAGTCTGCGCCCAGTGTTAAATAGCACAGTCCTCCTCTTCTTCTTATTCTTCTTCAGAAGCATGGTTTTCAACTCTTGTTGACCCTGAGCCAGGCCCTTGATTAGCTCCTGAAATTGGGCGTTCTGCGCCTGAAGAGCCTTGATAGATGCCTCGGTTGATGATTCAGGGTTCATGATGCTGAAATAAACAGCGAAGAACAGTCAGCAGCTTGAAAAGAAGAGTACCTGTGATGCATATGATGAATGATATGTGTTTATGCAATGCATTCAAGAGTTCGAAAATTCAAATTTGTTGTAGACAACAAGGAACACACGTTATTATTAAGGAAATGATTGTTCAGTACATTAAAGCCTCATAGGCAAACATTACAAAGCAGATCAGTCCCAAAAGACACTACGCATCCTCTTCGGAGCAATATAGGTATTGAGATTCCTTTCCTCGTGCAGTAAGCGGGTGAGCTCCAGGACCTTTTTCTCACTGGCATGTAGATTGGTTTCCAGAGAATTCCGTTCTTCCTTAAGCTGGATCCAACTCTTCTGCATCTCTTCCCATGACGTGGGCATGTCAGGATGTTGAATGGTGTAGGACACCTCTCCTTCCAAGTCTGGCTCTTTGATCACGGGGAGAACATGAGGATATGGCATCACCAGCTTCTGGGAACGGGCTCGTACCCATTTGAGATAAGGCTCCAATGGGATGGAGTTCCTGTGCCCCAGGGTCTTGCTGTCTATTTTGCTGGGCATCCTCCAAGCTTTGATAAATTTCTGGCGAAGTCCTTGCGTATCCTTGTCGAAGTCAAAAACTATATCAGGAATTAACATCTCATGAGGGCCATCTTTCCGAGCATAACCAAACTGTCTCCAAGCCATGCACGGGTTGTAAGTAACACCTCCTCTGATTCCAAGTAAAGGAACATTAGGGTACTCCCCACAACGATCAATGATAGTGACATCCTCTCTGGACCGAGAACACCAATGTATATCTGCATGTGTAAGAGTCATCAACCGTTGTGACCACCTCAAACCTCGCTCGTTCTTCAAAACTGATTGTGGAAGGTGCGAAATAAACCACCTTCCCAGGAGGGGAGTGCAGCACATAAGAACACCCCTTTTTCTCATGGTTCGAGTGTAACATGAGTGAAGGATGTCCCCCAGCAACGTAGGTATAGGATTCCTGGACATGAAGATCTTGACAGCACTGATATCTATAAGCTGATCTGGTTTAGGGAACAACACCAACCCATAGACAAGGAGGGCTACAACTTCTTCAAAGGCTTGTAGGTCAAGGGAATTCCAACACTCTTGGGCCTTCTCAAACAGAAACTTCGCCAAGAATCCTTTGACACCATTTCTGGCTTCCCAATGCCCCTTGATGTCAGATGGTTGTAGACATAATGCTTTAGCCACTTCTTCAAGTTTTGGTTCCCTTTCCGTACCGTTGTAGGGTAGTTGATTGAGAATGGGAATCTTCAGAAGTTGGGAAAATCTTCTAGAGTAGGCACCAGCTGATAATCCGGGAAAGTAAAACAGTGATGCAGAGGGTCAAAGAATTGGAAAAGGACCTTTACCATCTCTTCCTCAATATTGGTATTGACCAGGCTGATGAGTCTACCATGCCTTTCACTGAATGACGAGTTCTCGAGAATCCTGGATGTAAGCTCCTTAAGCTGAGGAGGGACCCTTATAAGGTTGATCTGAATTGTCTTTCTGCGGATAGTTTCCATGTCCTACAAGACAAGAACAAAGATGAAGATTCGAACCCCTGAAATGGTTAGTGGATGCATATGATGCTGTATGATGTTATGATGCTATGATTAAACACACCACAAATATTTACAGAGGCAAACATGTAAGGCACACAAGTCACACAAGACAAGCCCTTAGAGTTTAGGCCAGCATGGGGTCTGGGTATTACCCTCTTGAAGTTGGTGGGCTCAAACCTGTCCTATCAAAGTAACCGGGTTCTAAGGATCTCAACATCATTGGATTGCTTTCATTGTTCATCGTTTCGATTTGGCCACTGACTGGCGATCAAAATATCCCAAGAAAACAACCCTCAATTGAGTGTAGTATCGAGTATCAACCGACTTCGGAGTACACCAAAGTAGTCATCTCACTACCCTAAAGAGGCCAAGATGGTTCAATTAAGGTTCCTAAGGTCTGTTGATGCTTCATGACACCACGCGGAGGCCCCGTACTCTCCTTGACTGAACTCAAGGGTTACCGGTACACACCAAAGTGCCACATCAACGTAGCAGACTGCTTCAACCGTGTCGGTATACCCCGCACAGTTCCCTCACAGCCTTGTTGCTACTTTCTAAGAAGGTATCCCCAGATCCGGGTTAGGATCTATAGAACTCCCAAGACAGTCCCACAATTTAAAGCAAACAAGTCAAAGCAATTGAAAACACAGTGATCTTAGTCCTAAGGTACACCTCACTTTAAAAGAAATTTCCCCAGCAGAGTCGCCAGTTCTGTGATCGATGGATCTGGAACTGACTGTTTAAAGCTGGTTTCGCGAAATGTCGCGGTAAGCAAGAGTCGCCACCGTCTTTTATTTTCTCCAATATGGAAAGGACAAAAGCACAGAAAAATTCCTTATTGAGATTAGTTCTCGGTTCGGGAGGTAGATTTATAGAAAGGGAAGGTGTTAGCACCCTTTCTATCCATGGTTATCCATGGGCTCTTAGATACTTGCTCATTGTGTTTTCAAAATTTGTTTGCTTTTCAAGTGTGAGTGGGTTTTGAAAAAGTTCGTTTGAAAACTTCTAGGTAACTCTTGTATCAGTCCTCAAGAGTGTATGAAGTATTGTTTGAAAACTTTTTGAAAAGTGTAAGGTGTGAAAAGTATTTTGATTTGTTTTTGAAAAGAGCAAGTATCCATGAGTCATCTACCTACCCTAAGGAATTAAGCTGTGTAATTGTCCTTTAGAGTAGTGCCATCCCACCATTGAGAGGTAGGTAGCACCACCGTTGGAGGTGTTCGGGTCAATTCGAGGGTTAGGGACAGTGTGGTCACCGAGCAATAGTAAGATACCTTAGAAGCTACCCTTATGCCATTGATCTTTTTATTCCGAGGCAACTTGTTTCGAGGCAACCGTTTTGAGGCAACTAGATCAATGGAACATAAGGACTCACTAAGACGTCCTGTACTTAACGACCACGTTTCGAGGGGCAAGGCAACAGGGTGATCACCGGAGCAATGATAAGATACCTTAGAAGCTACCCTTATGCCATTGATCCTTTTATTCCGAGGCGACCGTTCCGAGGAAACTTATTCGAGGCAACTGGATCAATGGAACATAAGGACTCACTAAGGCATCCTTTACTTGATGACCACCTTTCGAGGGATAAGGCAACAGTGAAGCGTACCCTAGGGGTGGTGTGTGATTTGTGTGTCATTTTCAGTTTATTGTTTGTCTTGTCATGCATTGGTGATCTAGGCTTTGATTTTATTTTTTTTTGGGTATTCATTCTTTCATGTTATTGTTTAACAGTTAAAGGTGCGGGAATTTAAAGTGCGGAAAAAAGATAAAGGTCCTACGCTATTACAAGGGCGCGGGTCTACAACGCCAAATTAATCCAGACCCGATTTAAAATAAATTGCGGAAAATAAAGGTCTAAGAGCTATTACATGGCTTTGGTACAAGTACATTATATTTACATCAAAAATAAATAAAACGCGCGAAAAAGGAAAATATGACCGAATGCGAGGGCGTTGAACCCTTTGAAGGAATTTAAAATAATTAAGTTAAAATAATTAAATTAAATAAATAAAGAAGAACTTATTTTTATGTTTTTTTTTTGTATTTATGACATTAAAGAAAATTAAATTAATTAAAAGTCAAGTAATTAATTCTAATTCTAATTGTTTTTAATTTATTAAAGAAAATGCATTAAAGTTAAAACCTAAAATTAAAACTAATTAATTATAAAACTTATTTACAAAATTAATGGTTAATGATATTTGTAATAAAAATATTTAATTAATTAAAAAAAAGGGATAAAAAGTATTAAAGATCTAATTTTATTATTTTTGGTTTATTGTGAAAAAGAATTAAATTATAACCTAAACTTAAATCTAAATTAATTAAGGGATTTATTTACAAAATTAAAAATAAAATATTTATTATTTTTTACCTTTTTCTGATTTTTTATGTTTTTTTATATTTTGAAAATATTAATTAATCAAAAGAAAACAACAATTAAAGGAATATAAAAAATAATAAAAGAACAAAAGAAAAGAAAGAAATTTGCAAAAGAACCTAAGGGGGTGAAGCCCCTAATTTGGAGGTTGGATCTTGGGAATTCTGGCCCAACAACCCATTGATCCGTTTTGACTTTTTTGGTAGTATGCTGTAGTGTTGACTGGACCCTATGCTGTTCTTCCAATCTGCACCCTTGATATGATGAATCTAGACAGATGGCTATTGATTTTTGAGCGTGTATAATATGCCTTGATAGTGAACCTGCATATGATTGCTAAACACAAAATAATATGAAGAGAGTGAAGACCTGGGGTTCGAACCCAGGTCTTGTGGTTTACCATTCAAACGCGTTGCCAGTTGTGCCAAATTGCTTATTTGTAAGTTAAATAACAAACAAAATTTATAAATAAAATAACGCGTTGATGTTATAAAAAATGAAAAAATGCGCGATGGATTCAAACCAGCCAATCGCCTAATGACACGAACTCATCTTCTTCCTCGGATTTCCTGAAACAAATTTAGCAAATATTTAACGGGGGTTTTAAACCTCCTCAAAACAACGCTAATTTCAGTAATAACGAATAGGCCAGTGACGATCAGAAATTGGGCGCGATGATAGTTTTTTCTTCGTCCAGATGCGCTGATCACGACCATGGTACTGTGGCTCCCTAATTTTGCCTCTTCTTAAAACCCCTAATTCAAATCCCTGCAAACCCTAAAAAGCAACAATGGCATATTTGTGTACAAGGCATAAAAACATAATTAAACAACATGGTAAGTATCAGAATGCATCATTGAACAAGAATACATAAATTAAATGTCATGAAAATGCCTCAAAGTTGAGATACGAGTATGCAATTTTATGAAGAAAAATTGGATTCTGTACAGCGTTTCAAGAGGTTATCTTTGATGTTTGTGATTGGAATACGCCCTACAATGCTTGAGGAAGCTAATGGGATGGGAATTTTGGCTTGAAACCACCTCTAACTGAGTTTTCAGATTTGAGCTTTTTTGTAAAAAAGTGAGCTTTGTCGTGAGCAATAGGGTGCAGATTCTCTCCAATTCTTGTTGTGTCTCTATTGTATATACTCTAGTCAATGTGTATGAATGAGATTTATGGCCAAATATGCTTTGCATTGATGTTTTGGATTTCCACATAAACCACCATTATCAACTTTCCATTTTGAGTCCAAATTTGAATTCTTGCTTGATTACTCACTTGCACGAATTTTGGTAGGCACATAATGGTGTTTCAAAGCTAGTAAAAACCAAATATTCCCTTTTAAATCAATTTTTGAATTTCTTTTGATTTTAAAAGATTTAAAATTAATTAAATCCAATAAAATCAATAAAAAATGAAAAATTAATAAAATTTTTTGAAATAAAAGGTGGGACACGTGGGAGGCATGGCCAAGTTAATTCAAGTGGAAAAAGTGGGCCCCTTTTGTCAAAAATGAGATTTCAAGGATAAATGATTTTGGCTATTTCACAAAAATTTCCCAACTTCTCCAATGCATAACTTGCTCAATTTTTAAGCTTTGCTCATGTTCTTGGACATTTTAGAAAGGTCTTGAAGTCCTCTAAACAATGTATTTGGTCCCATGTCATTTTGATTTACCAATCTCAAGTTATGGTCTTTGACTTAAAGTCCCTTTTTGTTGACTTTTGAAAGTGACCTATAATGTTGAAATTGATAACTTTTTGTGAGAGCATTTCTTGGACTTGAAGTATGAATATGAGTTGTAGGAAATGTCTTTCTCTTCAAAATGAGCTTTGGATGGAATTTTTCTGATGAACCATGTGAAAGTTATGCCCTGGTCAATTTTAGTTGACTTTTCCAACTGTCCAAAAATAGAAATTTTTGCATCTTGATGATTTTTGAGCCAAGTTTTTGAGAATCATGATCAAGCATTGATCAAATGATGTTTGTGGCTTCAAAATGAGATGTTGACCAAAAATTTGAACTTTTGACTGCCAAATGACCATTTTGCCCCTACAGTTGACTGTAGTGCAATTAGGGTTTTGACTGTGCAATTTTGTGCTGAAAGTCTTGAAACTTGACATGTAGGTGCTTGACAATGTTTATGTGCATGGGAGACTTGATTGAGGCCTTGAAAACTTCAGCTTCCTTGTGAGAACCAAAACCCTAGTTTGACTGGCTTCAGGAGGATGGTTGACTGTGTAGCCTTTGAGTAGACTTGAACCAATTGTGGATGATTCTTGTCAAAACTTTGAAGGTTATGGGAGGGCAAATTTTGGGGTACAACACTTGGCATCATGGAGCATGAGACTTTTCTTGGACTTAGGACTAGAAACCTTGACCTATCTTAGAGACCTTGTGATCTTATCTGATTATTTTGTCTGGAGTTCCTGAGGTTTACCTCAAAACATTGGGTTGTTTGTTTGTTTTTTGTGTGCAGGTTTTTTGTGATTACACCCTTTGTTTGTAATCTGAGATTCACCCGTATATAGCCGTTACTCTGCCCAATTTTTATGAAGACTTAATACACTTGAAGTTTGGTTCTCTCAAGAGGTCTAGTATTTCTTTGCTTGATTGGTTTCAATCCAAGGAATGGGAATTCTGTCTTGGCTCATAATGTCAAGTTTTGGCTTCTTGTTGGTTAGATGGTTCTTATCTCTAGATTTTACCTTGTGCTTTAGGATAGTCCCTTCTTCTCCTCCCATCTTCTTTAATTTAAAAAATCTTCTTTCCCTTTTTGAAAACTCTTCTTGTTTTTGAACTTGAACCATTTTCATAATAAACTTGGACTTATGCCCATGCATTTTCAAAAAATTTTCATAAATAAACTCCAATCAACTTAATAATACCTTGACATTTTTTGTGAGAAGACTAAAAATTCAATCAATCTCATTTCAAACCATTTTTCCACCTTGGCTTTTTATCTTTAAAACTTTTCTTAAAAGATTAAACTCTTGTCAATCCTTGTAGTGATGCAAACAACTATACTTCTACAATATGTAGTGAAGAGAGATATTTTCCACTTGGGTGTTGAGTGAGACATTGTTGATTTTGAAATCCAAGCCATATCCTCCACTTTGAGATTATGCAAATTTTCCTTTCTCATGATTGTGGGTAGTAGGTATGTTTTCCACACGGACAATGACAATGATGTTTTATCTTATAAAATTAACCAACACATTTGGGTTTTAAATTTTTGAAAGAAGAACTACGTGTACCCTGATCCCCTATTGCACGAAAGGTGGTACATAGGCACTAAAGGTTCGCAACCGCGGCGGGTGCAAAAAATTATAAAATAAATATATTTCTTTTCTCACCTCCACCATCCATTTTTTTCTATATATACAACATTTTTTTTATATCCAAAATATACAGATTTTACAAAGAGGCTCCTGTAGAGTACCGTAGATGTTTAGGGTTCTAATACCTTCCCTTTTCATAACCAACCCCCTTACCTTGAATCTTTCCCCCTCTCTTTGGGTTATTCGCTCTTTTCCCATTCCTTTGGAAACAATAAAGCGCGGCGACAATTTTTATTTTGATTTGTATAAAGTCTAGTCAATCCAATGGCTTAGTCTTGAACATTTCTACCGCTACAGAAAAATGGAAACTTCACTGGGGAAATATATGTATATGTGTTATTACTGTTTTTGTGTTATATGTTGTATATATGTTTATCTGGATTTTCCTAGTTTTCAGGGTGCTTGGTGATTACTCATAAGTCCTATACCCGGACTTGGGCAAACTTTAAGATAGGATGGGCGGTCTAGTCATGTTAACTTTGAGGGAGTAATACAAAAAAATGAGGCATGAGATCCCCCACTCAGTGGAGGCCCCTTTGACTGTAGTGTCGTTTATCGAGTAATCGGGAAGACATACTGCTTTCGACCTGGGAGCCTGCTGAAACTGAGGACCGTAGAATACCAAACCCATCTTGGCCTTTTAGGTGTAGTGCGGAAGCTATGAAGGAGTAATCTGGAAATAGTTATCACGCGATACTACGCTCGGACGAGTCTTTCTTGAGAATATTACTAATTACCGAGTTAATTGGGAAGTTGGTAATATCTGAAGGAAGGATGTAGACTCTGGGAACCTCTAGAACCTTGTTCGGCAGGTGATAACTTTTAGACCAACACCTTATGGGTATTACCTTCGACCTCATGCTCGTGACGTTGAACCTATGAACCCTATATGTGTAATCTTGTGTGTGATTGCTGCATCATGCATCCATACACTCATAAGCATCTTTTGAAGAAAACCATATTTCAAGGGATTTAAAGGTTGACTATTTGTGAATATCTCAGGTACTTTCTAACCATGGATTCTGGAAAGAGAAAGACCGAGAAATACAGTTTCAAGGATCCCAAGATAGATGAGTTGATCAGTCTAATTCCCGAGATCGAGTGTTCTGCAGACTTTCGGAAGAAGTATGGGTCCATTATTCCTCTCATGAAGCTGAAGATGAAGGAGGGTATTCTCTCGACCGTGGTCCAGTTCTATGATCCGATGTATCATTGCTTTACTTTTCCCGACTATCAGTTGATGCCTACACTGGAGAAGTATTCTTATCTATTGGATTTACCTGTTACCGATCGTGTTCCTTTTACTGGTTTGGAGGGTGAGCCAAAACCACATGAGATTGCTTCTTTGATTCAGCTGGGGAAGTCTGAGGTGGAAGCCCATATGACTACCAAAGGAGGGATTAGAGGATTACCAACTCAGTTCTTATTGGAGAAAGCTCGTTACTTTGCTAGAATGAAGAGTACAATTGCTTTTAAGGCCATCTTTGCTCTACTTGCTTACGGGTTGTTCTTATTTCCTAATGTGGATAAGTTTGTAGACATTAATGCTATCAGGATCTTCATGATAGGAAACCCAGTCCCTACATTGTTGGGTGATGCTTATTACTCTATTCATCTTCGGAATTCTTATCATGGGGGGATGGTTATCTGTTGCACACCTATGTTGTACCGGTGGTTTATCTCTCATATGCCTCAGTCTGATGTTTTTGGGATGTCAAGAAGGAACCCTATTGGGCTCCTAAGATCGTGGAACTTACTCACTCAGACATTGATTGGTATCATCGAGCTTACCAGGATATAGAGATTATTGACAGTTGTGGTAGTTTCCCCAATGTACCTCTTCTTGATACAAAGGGAGGAATTAACTATAACCCTGTTCTTGCACGGCGACAACTTGGTTATTCGATGAGGGATAAACCTAATAGTATTAATTTGAGTAGTTTCTTTCTGAAGGAAGGAGATGACCATAGGGAAGCTAGGGAGCAGATTGTGAAGGCCTGGCATCACATTCATAAGAAAAGTAGGAAGGATTTGGGACCTAGGGGTGCTGTTTCTTTGGAGCCATATCTTCAATGGATCCGATCGAGAGCCATTCAGTTAAAGATGCCATATACCCGGGAGACACCCATGCCTGATCTATTTGTGAATACCACTCCTCCCTTATTAGATGATCTAGAAGAGCTTCAACTTTCTTTGGTTAGGATGCAATAGGAAAGGGATGCTTGGAAGAACAAGTTCCAAACTTTAGAGAGTTCCTACAGAGCATACCTAAAGGAGAAAGGCGACTTGATTGAGATCCTTGAGATTCGAGCGATAGAGTCTATGGAGAGGCAAGGGGATTTATTTTCTCCTGGGCCTCAATCAGGTGCTGATCATTCACTTCTTGATTCAGATGATTGGAAAGAGGTTTCCATCAGACATGTGGAAGAAAACCGGAGGTTGAAGGCTCAGATTTCCAGGCTCATGGGGAAGCGCCAATGTATAGAGTGATCTCCATCAGTTATTTTTCTCAGGATTTTAGATTTTATTTTCATCTTGCACTTGAGATCATTGAAACTTGTAATCCATTTTGGAGTTATTATAATAAAAAAAATTTCTTCTGTATTTCAAAAGCGTATTACTTTGATGTTCGCAATATGTCTATAAACGTTAAATCCCTTGAAATATTAAATAATAAAGTAAAAATAATCATG